GAAGTCAAAGGATTCTCCTGTAAAAGGTAGCAGGAATTGAAAGCTGGGTCTGGAACAAATATCTGCCCATTCAGGGCAGCATCGCTAACAATAGTAATAGGTGGAAATGACCCAAGTGTCCATCAACAGATGAACGGACAAACAGAATGTGGTACATACATACAGTGAAATATTATTCAGGTGTAAAAGATAATGAAATTCTGACACAGGTTACAACATGGGTGGACCTTGAAGACATTGTGCTAAGTGAAAGAAAACAGAAACAAAAGCAAAAATAGTATATTATTCCACTCATATGAAGTACCTACAGTACTTAAATTCATAGACACAGAGAGTGGAAGTGGTTATCAGGGGCTGGGAGAGGGAGAATGGGAATTATTGTTTAACTGGGGATTGAGTGTCAGTTTGGGGAGATGAAAAAGATCTGGAGATGGATGGTGGTGATGGCTGCACAACAGTGTATTTCATGACACTGAACTGTATGGCTAAAAATGATTGAGATGGTAAATTTTACGCTATGTATATTTTACCCCTGGGGGTAAAAAGGTACTAGGCACTGATGGTTTTTCAAGAAGTTCTTTTTAGATTTTAAGAAACAGTTTCTTACTGTGTAATTGTTTTGAATAATAGAAAAAGATGAACAGACATCTCTGACTTCACTCAGGCAGACGTCTTGACTCCTCCTCAGGCCCCCTGGCCTGCACATGGTGTGCATGGGACAGATGCAGTGTAGCGTGTTGGTGAACAAACGTCTCCTGTGACAAGGTCCCTGCAGCCCCTCCTGCCCTCTGGACTACCCAGTCTGGTGCGTCCTTCCCCTTAACACCCCTGCTCCAGTCCAGGATTCTTCCAAGAGGGATGGGACACCACGAGGGAAACACAACATGACCCAGTGAGGTGGAGAAAGAGAATATTCGGATTTTTTTCCATTTTTATTTTTATTGTCATTCATTTGAAACTTCTACTTTGTTTGTGTTTAACGTAGTAGCACATGTATATAACTTATAAATAAATAAACAAACATATGCCTCAAGGTCTGACTCAGGAAATAAATAGGTTCTGAGACATTCTTTCTTATATTCTTCACTATCCAAAACTCAGGGACCCAACAGATTTCACTAATGGTCTCAGTAATCAAACCTGGTCCTCAGTAATGCAAACTCAGTAGGCAAACAAATTCTGATAGTAAGGGATGTTTGTACCTGTCTTGGGACTTTGTGCCCCAAGTGTTTACTAAGAAGCATGCACAATCAAAAAAGTTAGTTAGTTGCTTAGACCACTGGAGTAGTGAAGTCTTACGGCCCCATTTAACAGATGGGAGAAGTGTGACTATCATTTTCACACCACTTCCTACACACAGATGCCATCCCCTCTTCTATAGATGATGGAACTGATGTTCAGAGAGGTTCATGAGCTTCATCAAGGTCACAGGGCTACAAGACTCAACCTGCCTAGGTCTAACGCCAAACCTGTGCTGTTTTTACTAGAGTTCCTCTCACCAAAACACAAGAAAGAGCCTGGCAAAGGCAACCTCATGGCCAAGTTCCCTCTTTATCAGCAAGTTCTGGGCTGTCCCACACACCCTACCTAGCCAATTCCTCCTTCCCTAACACCTTAGTTCAAGGTCTCCTTTCCCCAGCTGGGCACTCCTAGAACCTAGCCTTCCCCTGCTGCTTATTATCCCCCGAGGTGGCAGAGGACTCCCTGGGCATGGTCCTCTGTGCCCTAGACCCTCAGCTGGGTGGCATACAGCAGGGCTCAGCAAATGTTCTGAGTGAGGGGCCAGGAGGCACACACACAGAGGAGCCTGCATTCGTGGCTGCACAGGCATGAGTGACACTTGGGTCCCTTCTGGTGCTGACACTACAATGACCCTGACCCCGAGATAAGTGAATGGGCAGCTGACCCTCAGATCAGAAAGAAATCCCTGAGGTTTGGGGGTGCGGTGGGGGCTGAGATAGAGAAGGAGAAGGAGAACACAGAGAAGACAAGGGGTAGAGACTTTGAAGGGGCTTCCTCCCTCCCATTAGGCCCCTGGATGGTGATAGCAGAAGAGAACCAAGGAAACAGTGGCAATAGGGGTGGGGAGGCTGTGGGAAACCTTTAGGTCCTATCAGACCTTTTAAAAAGGCCACAGAAGACCTGGGCTGCTGTGGGCTCCACTCACGTGACCAGGGAATGCCACTTTCCTCCCTGACAATGGCTGGACCTCAACTGGTCCCCCCACTCTGCACCCATTGTTGCTAGTTTTAGCTGGTGCTTAACTGTGCTTGGGTGATCTGGGAGAAAGGTGTGTGGTTGACAGGGGTCAAACCATGACCCCAAACTGAATCTTACTTCCCCATCATCTCTTGAGAAGGTCCTTGATGAGGTCATGGACTGTTCCAGAAAAGGCTGCTTCTGAAATGTCTCCTGCTACCAGGCAGTGGGTCACAGAGTACCAGCTGATGGGTTGTGCAGGGCTCAGCTGCCAGTTATGTGGGATGGCCAGGACCCTCAGAGGACACCAAGGTGGAGACTGAAGAAGGGGCACCAGCAGCTTGAGGATGGAGGGTTGAAGAGGGTAGAAAAAGGTGCATTCTACACCCAGCCTGACCCTGCCCACAGCCACGCACATGCCCCCAGCACATGTACAGTCACTGCACACCCCCAGACATAAGTATATACATGGCACGCGCACACACACACAAGCACAAGTATGTCCTACAGACACCTACTGGTACGCATGAACACACGCCTACACACACATTCACACATCACCAAACAAGGTGTGTCTGCACATGTGCACAGGAGGAAGGGTCACGTGCCCCTGAGAGCACCCTTCTGCTACAATCCACCCTCAGGAATCTGCTGGAAATCCTGAGGCCAGGGGCCTGGTTCTGTGCCCCTGGAGAGTCAGGGTTTCCCCTGCCCAGGCCATCCTGACCCTCTGGAGACCCCTGTCCTCCACATCTGACCCCCAGCTCCTCTGCACACAGACCATGTCCCAGTCTCCTCCCATGGGCTGCCAGCAGAGATGACGCCCTCCCGCCTCAGCCCCCTCTCTGCTGTGCCCTCCCGGCACATACTGGCGCTGCCAGGTCTGGAGACAATTTCGAGAGATTGGAGACTGCCATGGAAAGCCTTGGTGAGCTGAGCTATTAGGGAGCAAGGTGCGAAAATTGCATATTTAGGAGTCCAGCTCCAAGCCAGGTCACCTAATAGTCAAAGACACAGCCTCAGTCTAGGTCCTGCCCCACATCACAGCTGAGCCCTGACCCCAGACCAGCCACACATGGAGACTTGATTCTAGTTAGAGACTGTCTCTCGATTTGGGTGATAGCCTGAGCCTTGACCCCAGCCTGGGCCTAAAGCCTGACCCTGACCCTGACCCTGACCCTAACCCCAGCCTGCAGCCTGACCCTAAACCCAAAATGAATGCTTATAAGACTTGACCTTAGCCATAGGCTAGAGCCTGATCCTGACCCCCCAAAATAAACACTATGGTCACAGCCTGAGCCCTGGCCCCAGACTGAGCCATTACCCCAACTCCAGAATAAGCTATCCCTGACACTGCCTCTAAACAGTACTCTTCCAAACCCTAGGCAACCCTGATCCTGACCCCAGAATGAACTCTTACCTGGCCCAGCTTGAGCCCCAATCTTGACTCCAGACTGAGCCCTTGGCCTCTCCCAGAATGAACTTTTACCCCAGCTATAGCCTGAGCCCTGACACTGACTACAGCCTGATCGCTAATCCTAAGCCAGTCCACTCTGAAAACTCGGTCTCTATTTCCATAAGGAATGGTCCTCGTCCTTTTCCCAACGATGGAAAATCCTAGCCAAGGGCCGGGAGGATCTGGAGAACCTTCCACAGAATCCCTGCAACAGCCTTTGCTAAATGGCAGGAGGGCAGGGACAATCATTCCCGTTTGTAGGTAAGGAAACCAATTCTCAGGGAGGCTTAACTTATTCCATGTGGTTCCAATGAATAGAACTGGAACAGAAAGAAAGATGCTATAGAAGACAGATTTCAGAAAGAAATTCCCAAAAGCCTGGCTGGGCAAGGACAGAATGAACTGCATGTGGAGGGCGGGGCTCCGCGTCCCTGGAAGCGTGGCGGCAGAGGCAGAGGACTCGTCGGCTTGTGCTCCAGAGAGGCCTACCGGAGGTGGCGGGGGAAGGACTGCGGCCCCTCTGAGAACCCCGACATACAAAGGGGAACTCATGCCTCCTTCAGGTGCCCTGAGCTCTCCCCGTCAACGCAGCAGCCAGACCTGGAAGGGCCCCAGAGGCCCGGCCGGGCCAGACGGAACCGGAGCCCCGCCCTCCCGTGCTCCTCCACCTCTCCCCTGCCCCACCCATTTCCTGGACCAGGCCTAGATGGAGAAGAGGCCTGCCTTGCTGAGCTGGCCTTGGGCACTCTCGCTCCGGAGCAGTGCTGGGCTCTCCGTCCATTGTGAGTCCCCTCTCTGTCCCAGGCTCAAGACAGATGTGGGACTGGGGAAGACACACCACCGTTTCCAAAATGCCAGAATAGCCTTTCTTCCCCAGCATCCCCATTTTGCAGACGTTGGACACCAAGACCCAAATAGGCGAAGCGGCCTGCCTTGAGTGTCACAGCCAAGCAGGGGAACGTCAGGATGTGGACCCCAGACCCTGGCACCTGCCCCACTCTGGCACAGCCCCACAGCTGCCCGAGAAGGGCTGGAGGATGGTGGGGGGACCTGGTGCCAGGCAGCAGAGGCCAGGGTGGGGGGCTGGATGGCCCCTCGCGCCGCCGCCCCCGGGCACCCCAGCCTGGCTCCATCCACCGGCCGCCCAGCTGCCGGCACATCCGCCCAGGCCCAGACATCAATCCACACCAGGGCCCTCGCTCCCTCTTTCTTTTCTGCCCTCCTCTTCCCTCCCCAACTCACGTCTTTTTTTTCCTCCTCTCTCTCTTCCAACATGTCATTACAGTAGAAACAAAAAGCGCGGGGACAATGCGGGCATTGACGGCGGCCCCCACCCGGCCCCCTCCCCCCGCGGTGCGTGCCAGCACTCTTTCCACCCGCCCAGGGCTGGAACCGCTGCCAAAGAAGCCCTGCTAATAAACAAGAGGAACCAGATAAACCAGGAACACAATAGAGGGATTTGTTGCACTTAGAATGGTGGGAACAATGTCAACGTCGCGCGCAGCTGCTTCTAAGCCCCCATCCCACCAAGTCCTGCCAAGCAGCCCCCTCACCCCCAGCCCCTCTGATTTATGAAAGGTCAGAGGGCATCATGGCTAAAGGGCCCCTTCCTCACATCCCTCGTTAACCCTTCGGACACAATGGTCCCTTCTCTGGGAGGTGGCGGTGGGGGCGGGTGTCATGCGCAGCACTTCCTGGAGCATCCTGGGGCGGGCTGGTAGTGTCAGCAGAGGAGGAGTGGGCTCCACGATGCCTTCAGGCCAGGGGCTTTGTCTGGAGTGCCGGCCTCATTGCAGGAGGACTTCTTAATGACCCTCAAGGGTGTGGCCAGAGCCCACAACGGGCTCTATGAGAGGCGACCTGGGCTGCTGCCTGGGCTGTGCGTCCAGGGCCAGATTGCTGATGCCCTAGTGGGCGCTCCGAGTCCCCTTGCTGGCTGCTGGGGTGTAAGGATGAGCAAGCCATAGTCCCTAGTTTGGGGGAGCCCAGGGAAGTGGGCCTGGTGGTGGTGGTGGAGCTGGGCAGGTATAGGAAGGACAGACAGGGCAGAGCTCTGGGAGGAGGAGGTGGTATGCTGAGCAGGTGGCAAAAGCAGAAGTATGCCCAGTTCCCAGCAGAGGCTGGCAAGCAGATCCTTTGCCACCGTTTTACCCAAGCTTCATTACTAAAAGGATAACGACACCTATCCCACAGAGTACTTGGGAAGATTAAATGGTACAAATTAGGTACTTAGAACAGAGCCTGGCATATGGAAGATTCAACAGGCATGACCCTTATTATTACTGAGGTTCACTTCACAACCACCCGGGGCTTCGGTCCCAGCTGAGGTTGGGAGTCCCCTCAGGTCACACAGCTGGCTTTTACAGAGCCAGAGATTCCAACCCAGGGTGCCATACTCCAAATCCAGGAATCTTTCCTGTCTACTCCCCTGCTTTGGGATGGGCAGCTGAAATGGAGAATCTGGGATTGATTTGGGGGCTGATCCACCAATAGGCTTTAGACCATCTTCCCTCCTTAAAAAAAAAAGGAAAAAGAAAAATCACAAGGAATCCTTAGTCTCTTCACATTTAAACCTAAACTGGAAGAAGGAAGATGCATAGGAAAATCTTCTGGGCACCCCCCACCTCTCACCTCTACTGAGCAAGGGCCTCCCAATAACACCCAACCACCCCCTGCTCTCCCACAAATCATACCCACCACCCCTGCTGAGGTCCCAGGCCCCTTCTGTGAGCACCAACTCTTTCTTCAACAGGAAAGTCAGTGTTCATAATTATCACTAAACTCCAGTCCTTTAGGAAATCCTGTTAGTTTTATCATCAAAACACATCCAGAATGTCCAATCTCACTTCAATTAAAAATTGTACTAGAAATCTGAGCCAGTGCAATAAGGCAATAAAATGAAATAGAAGGCATACAGATTGGAAAGGAAGAAGTAATACTACCTTTATTCACAGGCAACATAATCATCCATATAGAAAATCCTAAATAATCTACAAAAAAAATCTTCTATAAAAAATGCATGAGTTTAACAAGGTTGCAAGTACTAGGTCAATATGCAAAAAAATAAGTTGTAGTTCTATAAACTAGCAAAAACAATCATAAATTCAGATTTTTTACATATCATTTAAAATAAAACCATAGAATGTGAAACACTTAGGGATACATTTATTTTACAAAGTCATGACATAATGACACTAAAGAGGGTGGGGAAGGACCAGACCTAAGTGACTTTCTACAAGAATGTTTTTAGTTGATACTGCAAAGCTAGAGACAAAAAAAAAAAAAAACTGTACCCAAATGCTGTACCCTAGCTGGTAAATTAGTTTCTCACAAGGCATGGGTTAGCAATTCTGAGACTATTTTACATGTATACGAAGTTTAAACAAATAGGTAAATATACTGCAGATAACGAGAGCCAGGGAAAGAAATTACAAATAAGCAATGGGGAAAGACTAGAATAAACCCTGTAGTACTGGAGGTGGAGCTTAATTCTCCTCACCTTGATTGTAAGCCAGACTTAGAGACCTACTTCTAGGAGATAAGAGTATTAAAAAGGAAAAATAATAGCTTTACAGTGGAGTAACCTGGCAAACACCATCTTGACCAAGTGATCAAGGTTGACATCCCTATTAAGGCATATCCCTAACATGATATGATGAAGAGTACAGTTCCCTACACAGTATTCTTCTCCAAAACCCATACCTTCCATCTAACCATGAGAAGACATCAGAAAAAAACAAATTGAGGGATATTCTTCAAAATGCCTGACCAATACTCTCTAAAAAATGTCAAGGTCATGAAACCCAAGGAAAGACTGAGTGAGGACTGTCACAGATGGGAGGAGACCAAGGAGACATGACAACTAAAGGAATGTGGGAGCCTGGCTTGGGTCCTGGAACAAAAAAAGGACATTAGAGGAAGCTGGGTGAAGGATATACAGGCACTCTCTATATTATCTTTACAACTCTTCTGTAAGTCTAAAATTATTCCAAACTAAAAAGTAAAATAAATAAAGCCTACCTTTTAGTACAGCACAAAAATATGAAATACATGGGGATAAGTGGGACAAAAGATGAAACCTATAAAACACTGCTGAGGGAAATTAAGGAAGACATAAATAAATGGAGAGATATGTTCATGGATTGAAAGGCTCAATATTGTTAAGATATCAACTCTCCCCAAAATTGTTCTGTGGATTTAACCCAATCCCAATAAAAATCCCAGCAAGCTATTAAGAAGAAATTGAAAGGCTGAGTCCAAAATTTATGTGGAAATGTAATGATCTAGAACAGTCAAAACAATTTTGAAAAAGAACAAAATCAGAGGAATTACACTGCTTGATTTCTAGACTTATTATAAGGCTACACTCATCAAGACTGTGTGGTATTAGTGGAAGGAAAGACATATAAATCCATGGGAACAGAGAGAGCCCAAGAATAGATCCATACATATGGTGGACTGATTTTCAACAAAGGTGCAAAAGACAAGTCAATAGGAAAACAAGAGCCTTTTCAACAAATGGTACTCAAACAATTGAATGGCCACTTGCAAAAAAATGAACCTTGACCTTTATCTCACACTATATATATATGTGTGTGTGTGTATTCTATATAAAAATATATATATAATAAATACATATTTTTTAACTATCTCAAAATGGATCACAGACCTAAATGTAAAATCTAAAAGTATAAAGATTCTAGAAGAAAATACAGGAGAAAGTCTTTGGTATAGTATGCTAGTTAGGTAAAGATTTCGTAGATACAACATTCAATGTATAACCCATAAAATACAAAATTAACAAAGTAGACTTCCTTGAAACAAAAAGATTTTGCTCCTCAAAAGACACCGTTAAGAGGATGAAAAGATAAGACAAAGACTGGAAGAAAATATTTACAAAGTGTATACCTAATAAAAGACTTCATAATCAGAATATATAAAGAACTTTCAACACTCAATAATAAAGAAGCAAAAACCTACTTTTTTAAATGCGCAAAAGATTTGAAGAGAAACTTCACCAAACATGATATGCAGATGGAAAACAAGTACATGAAAAGATGCACAAGTTGATGCATCACCAGGGAAATGCAAATAAAACCACTACATGTGCGACGCCACTGCGTATTTATGGGATAGCTAGCATCCCATAATAAGAAGGACCAGACCAGGTGTTTTCCTGTCTGTGGAAGAACTAGAACTCTCCAGCACTGCTGCTGGGATTGCAAATGGTACAATCACTTTGGAAAATAGTTTTTTAGTTACTTAAAAAGTTAAATTCGTGCCTACCATACAACCCAGCCATTCCACTCCCAAGTATTTACCTGCTAGGAATGAAAGCATATGCACACAACAGCTTGTACACGAAAGTTTCATGGCAGCTTTATTTGTAATAAGACAAAATTTGGAAACAACCCAACATCCATCAACAGGTGAATAGATAAACAAAGTGTGGTCTACCCCAACAATGGAATATTCTTCAGTAGTAAAAAGGATAAACTATTAATACACACAGTGACATGGATAAGTCTCAGAACAATTATGTTGAGTGAAAGAAGCCAAACCAAAAAGACTGGATACTGTAGGATTCCATCCAGATACAACTCAGAAAATGCAAGTCAATCTACAGTGTCTGAAGGCAGAGCAGTGGTTGCCCTGGGAGGGGCAGGGCAGAGGGAGGGATGACCAAGGGGCAGGAGGAAGGTTTTGGGAGTGATGGATGTGTTTACCTTCTTGATTGTGGTGATAGATTCATTTGTATATACAGATGTGTCAAAATTGGTCAAAGTGCACATCTTATTCTGCACAGTTTATTTTATGTCAACTATACCTCAACAAAGCTATTAAAAAATGATTCATAAAAAAAGAAAAACAAACACAACCAGGAATCCACCTGCTTCTTGCCACCGCACTGGGGCAGCCATGGCCATCATCACCTTCACCTGTCCTCTGAGTCACCTCGGTGGCTTCTCCTCAGGCAATTCTCAGGCCCCCTCACTCACTGCTCCTGCCCTCCAGGGCTCCAGGCATGCTCCCACCGGATGGTCTGGGCCCTGGCTCTCTCTCTGCCCCAAAGGTTCTTTCCCAGACGCCTGAATGCCTGATGGCCCAAGCATCCTCAGGCCTCACTTAATGCCACCTTCTTAGTGGGCCTTTCTTTCTTTTCTTTTTTTTTGTTAAGGTATCATTGATATACACCCTTATGAAGGTTTCATATGAAAAACACTGTGGTTACTACATTCACCCGTATTATCAAGTCCCCCCCAATACCCCGCTGATGTCACTGTCCATCATCGTAGTAAGACACCACAGTCACTACTTGTCTTCTCTGTGCTACACTGTCTTCTCCGTGACCCCCCCACACCATGTGTACCAATCATAATACCCCTAAGTCCCCTTCTCCCTCCCTCCCCCCCTCCCCCTTGGTAGCAGCTAGTCCCTTCTTGGAGTCTCTGAGTCTGCTGCCGTTTTGTTCCTTCAGTTTTGCTTCATTGTTATACTCCACAAATGAGGGAAATCATTTGGCACTTGTCCTTCTCTGCCTGGCTTATTTCACTGAGCAAAATACCCTCTAGCTCCATCCATATTGTTGCAAATGATAGGATCTGTTTTCTTCTTATGGCTGAGTAATATTCCATTGTGTATATGTACCACATCTTCTTTATCCATTCATCTACTGATGGACACTTAGGTTGCTTCCATATCTTGGTTATTGTAAATAGTGCTGCAATAAGCATAGGGTGCATATATCTTTTTGAATCTCAGATCTTGTTTTCTTTGGGTAAATTCCTAGGAGTGGAATCCCTGGGTCAAATGGTATTTCTATTTTGAGTTTTTTGAGGACCCTCCATACTGCTTTCCACAATGGTTAACTAATTGACATTCCCACCAGCAGTGTAGGAGGGTTCCAGTGGGCCTGCCTTTCTCACCCCAACTAAAACTGCGGGCCACCCCTCTCTCTACTCCTGACAGTGCTTTCCTTACCCAACCCTCCCCCCATCACACCAGGTGACATTCACTTCCTTTGGGCTTTGTTTCCCTCAACAGGAATGTGTATCAGTCATGTAGTCTGAAAGCCCATAGTAGACATCAAATAAGTATGTGTTAAGGAAACAGTTAACACTTAGCAGGCACTGATCTAGGTGCTTTTCATAGATCACAGTACTCCCCGGAGGTGGCACTATGATTCTGCCCACTTTATAGATGGGGCAACTGAGGCATGGAGTGACTAAGCACACACATTTACTCCAGAGCCTAGCTCTTAACCAGAATACTCTGCTATCTCCTCTCCAGCGCTCTTGTCACCTTGTCACACTACTGATTACATCTGATGGCTACCACCAGACTCCTCCTAGCAACTGGGGTCCAGGCCCTGGGGTCCAACCCCAATCCCAGGGGTTGTACTGCATCTTACAGTAACAACAGGGATACAACTCTTCCTGGTTTCCTCTAGGTGTGCATGCTGCCTTGATCCAAAGGGATGTGAGGAAGAGGAGAAGGGTACATAAAATATAAC